AACTTTTACACTCCAGAAGCCAGATTGGCTATATATAAGATATGTATTCGCCCCAAACTTGAATACTGTGCCCACTTATGCAGTAGCTTTAAATCAGCAGACAGAAAATAAAGTTGAAAGTGTCCAAAGATTCCTGACGAAACGCATATTAGGCTATGATCAGCAAATAGAATACCTTGATAGATGTATTCGACTGGAATTAGAAGCCTTATGGTTAAGGAGAGTGAAGTGCAACTTATTTCTCTTATTCAAAGTTATAAGAAAGCACTGTAATAGTAACTCATCCGTAACGTGGGCTAATCTTAAATCGTATGGTCTACGCAACCATGACTACCTTCTCAAGGTTAACACCCATAAACTCACCACTAGAGCTAACTTTTTCACCATTAAATATTGCAAACTTTGGAACCAGCTACCCTCTGAGATTAGATCCTGTGAAAAGCCTGACAGCTTCAAAAGGAGCCTAGAAAAATATATTAACATGTCCACCCTAGCCCGTCTAAAAGATCACAACTGCTGGTAGAGTGGTGAGACAATGACATTCCAATATTTAACCACGGAAAGCACACTAGTCCCAATACTAATATAATAATACTTAATAATTATGCTCAATCAATTCTTTAAATTTGATTGTCATTACAATACTTAAAATGATTAAAATATTTATGCAGCAAATGTTCTCTTGCTTTACCACGCTTGTTTCCCTTATAACACTCAATTATTGAGCTTAATGTATTCTTTGATAATACGAATTATAATATTGATTACACTCATCATATATAGTTTGACTTACTTTACAGCTCCTTGTAAGACTAAGTGTGCTTCTTCAGTATACACACACTGCAGTATTGTTAACCAAATGTTAAAATTTTGTTGGTTCTGTGTTAATATCTTTTTATAATATGTGTAGACAGGTTACTTTGCAATGTCAAATGTTTACTATATAGAAGACTGTCATGATAATTTAGTACAATAAGTCCTGCCAACCGACCTTACCTTCATATCTACCTACATTGAACTCTAACTATAGTGTTCTGCTGAATCATGCTCCACTATTCACAAAACCTATTCTTTTTACTCTTTAAGGGTTTAACATCTTATAAACTAATCTGTTCATTAGGACGCATGCACACATATATAATATGTTCATAAATCTGTACGTGGAGATCTATTGGAAGCACTCACTAAGAAAGCTAGGGAAATGGAATGTGAGGTACGAACGTGTCTGGAACCAGCAATATATTTGCTGTAGCCATAACAATCAGAGCCTAACATCATAAAAGGAGGGAGGGTGGCGCATGCTGATCAGTAGATATGGTCGTGGTCACTAAGGTGAATCGCCCCATTCTGCAGGAACAGCAATATGCAATTTGACGGCTCGAGATTTCTATGAGGGCTTGAATCTTTACCTTGAAAAAGATAATAATGATCGCCTAGACAGATCATGCTTCTACCTTTAAACATATACCATTCGCTCAGCCTATTGTTGAGATGCGACCATGTGGGCTCTGCACAGATTTATGGGGTATCTTATAAATTAACTTGCTTTTCTTTGTCGAATCGTTGAATACCACTTCGCAATGTCTCATCTCATTCATTTTCTAATAACGTCTTCACTTGCTCCTCGTTATATTCCATTTAACCTAACATTTCCTAGCTCTTTATGAATTCGTTTCGACTTATTCTATTCCTATTCTCTATAGGGTACGGTTGTGCACCAAATACACAAAAAGGTATGAAATAAAAACAACCGGCTTGTGGATAATTGTATTGAAACCATAAGTGGACATCATGATAGTAAGACCTATATGGGTAGCATTATACATTGCAAATGAGTGTTGTCAGCCTATGAATTATATAGTTTCCCATTGTATGTCCTTTATGAATGCATCTATCAATGATACATTGCACTTACTTATTTCATTACACTTTACTGATTCACCTTACCACTTTTACTTTTCTAAAACAGCTCTCAATCCCATGTAAATGTAGTACTTACCTCAATATTGGTTGGTTATCGTATGCCTACAACCACGGGTTGAGAACGAAACGAAGTCGATTTTCCCGCGCAACCTGGAGGACTACTGTACAATTCAATAATCACACGGCCTGGGTCAGACAATGAGTGTATTTATATATCTATCAAATATTTAGCTGTTCAAACATTATTAACTTGTAGACAATCTACTATTTGACATTATATCATACTTGATCGTGCCTGTAAAAATGGCATGCATTTCCATGTAAATTTATGTTTATATGAAAATAAACATTATTATTATTATAACTGTTACCGACTTCCTCATATAAAGTGGTTGCATCTGAATGCATACGCGTCAATAGCTGGGCAATACTTTTTCAGAGTCCCCACATATGCATGTTTTAGTCCTCCCAATCAACCTATTTTCCATAGAGAAGTTAGAATCCAAATCTAGGAGACACTTGCAGCATAATCAGCAACCAGTGAATTGTTTTATTCATTTCGGTCAGGAATCCGGATGACTGTGAACCAATCCATACAAAATGTCGAATAAAGCATGCAAAAGCAGAATATTTCCATGATATATATGGCTACCCTCGCGAATGCTTTCAATAAGCAACCGTTTTACCATGATATGGTGGACCCCACTGAACACGACTTCTAACTAATATAGCTTCAGGAAATCCACTCAGTATCCATCAGTGAACTGGAGATTAATATTTAGATTATGGGATTTGACTTAATTTCATCATTTCGATTGTTAGATTTCCTCACGAATTCCTAACTAAGTGGCTGATTGCCCAGCTAGCTAGGTCTTCTAACGTGAACGTCAACCTCTGGCGTCGTCAATGCACACTGTTGAAGAGTTTTGAAACCGGAAGAAACAAATGTCCAGTGCTCCATGGTTTTCAATGAACCCTCTAACCAATATTGGCTCTTGACGAAATCTAACAACTGAAATACATACATTAATTGTTGGGCAGTGCCTAGGTAAGTGGTCCTAAAATGCGTTATAGAGTTTTATATAACTGGAGTTAAGACATGTCCTACGAAATTTGGATGCAATAAACATTTTTTTATATTTTAAGATAGGAAGATAATAATGCGTCAAAATTACGTACAAAATAACGCTATCAGTCAGACTACACAACAATATTCCCTTCGCAAATTCATGTGCAAGGAATGCTGTTGTTCTAAAATACTGGTGAATATATTTTGTGGTAGTGATGTATGTATGTTTGCATTTATATTCAGAAGGGTCGTAGAACAGTTTCTCCAACACGTTACTAAGTAAAACAGATACAATAAAGCTACTACTAATACTGTGGTGAGAGTTGACGGCTAGCCAAATTGGTAGACATTAATTTACGTCAATGTTTATGTCCCAAATATTGGTCGGTCGTGAGAAAAATAAGAACAAAGACTTCGCGTAGGCAGATACAGTTAGCAGCATATAGATGATCTGACATTCAAGAAACAGCCACAAAGAGATGAAAGATTAACTTTCAGTGAGAAACAACCACCAATCAGAAGACTGTGCTTTTCTGATGACAATAATCTATAATAATGTACATTAAAATCTATAAATATGTGTTGATTCCCTAAATAAATAAACGATCTGTTGCCTGACCCTTGTCTTCTGTTGTTACACTACTACAAGAAATGGCTTGGTAGTTCTAAGCGTATTACATACAGTACAGATTATTTTCAGTTCTCAAACCCAAAGATGATGACACGTTACACTATTTCATTTAGTTTTCGTCCTGGAATAATTATTCTGTTATTATTGACGTGAGAAGTTAATAGCAGTTTTCACTTCGTGATTTCATATATGCTGATCAGTACAATATAAAAGCAAAGTATCAAAAACTACCAAAAAGGTTAGATGTCAGTCGTACTACAACACTGACTGAGTTTTAACATAGAAGCCTGCACAGAAGTTCAAGTTGGCGCACTTCATGTAACACACAAAGGAAGAAAAACGAGGGATTCAAAAGGACTATAATAAGCAGTAACGTGAAGGAGGGAAACATTTGGTTTAATGGATATGGAAATGATCACATCTGCGCCATTGAGAACGATTTTGAGCCACTAACTGTCGCTAGCCATTGATGCTTAACATTCCGATGACAACAACCAGGAAGCCTACACAACTTAGGCAACACTGGCTCAAATTTAACTATCACAGACTTCATGGTCTGATGACAGGTTTCGATGTGACCACCTCTAACTCTTTTCCGACCTAATTCAATGTCGGCTAACACTTCTCGTCGAGGAAGGCAATCGCTCGAGATGTGCAACTCATGTCTCAATCATCTCGATAGGTTCACTGTCACACAACCTCATCAACTGACACCCTCCTTACCCCACACTCGAGACCTGATCTCAATATTACTTGCCATATTAAACTACTTCACACTTGAGACGGAACGCGAAAATCTACGCCAGAGGTAACGTAAGTTGGCAACTGTCACAAGAACCTTTTGTATCTGAGCTGATATTTTGTTAGCAACCAATCCATTAGGGTTGATTTAACTTCCCAAATAGGTGAAGTGGTCAACATGCTGTACCACTTCACTCTGTATCTTTAAGCTAAGAGTCAGCGTAGACCAGTCCAGCAGCATCATCATTTACTAGACAGGAGAGAATCGCATGCAAAACATTTGATGACTTCTACTGAAGGTGTTCAGAAGTCTGTAATTCATCAGCGTCTTAACCTAAGAGGACACTAACATCATAGCATAGGCTAAGTCAGCAAAACTATTCCGAGGTAACAAGTCAATCTCTAAGTCACTGAAACGACGAAAAAAAGATTTGTAGCTCACGTACATGATATTGGTGTAAATGTGTTTCCTAAGCAGGATTGATTTAACTGCAATATGAATTTGCAACTCTAAGAGATACACTGTCGAAGTTTCATAGTCTCAATGCGTATAAAGGGCCTTTTCATGTCCATGTAGGAGGAGCAGAGGAAGTGACGTTTGAACCCAATGAATATCACATTAAAAAAGCCAAGTGTAATTCAAAATAAACAATTATAATTTACAACAATATATTATACAATTCATAAATGAGGAAGCTATTTACATAAAAATAAATTACAGAAAATTTGTTTTTGTCAGGCCAACATGTACTATTATGAATGCAAACGAATGTAGAGATCGGCTACAAACCATGCCGTATGACATTTGTATTCACAGTTCAACAACCTTAAGAAAAAACAATTTTAAAAACAGAAAAATGCAACATCAACTGAAGAAATAAAGTTCTAACATAAAGACTTTTCTTCCAAATGCACAAAAATACTGAAGTCTATGACCAATAGCAGTACATTATTACGATTATCAAAATTAGGTATACATACGTCTCTAATAATCGAGGAATACAACTAATTGCCTTACAAGACTAAAAAGTAATTAGGCGTTAATTAAATATCTTATTATTAATCTAAATATCTTGACAAATTTGATCACTGAAGTGTCATTAAGAGCTGAGTTAGATCTCAATTGATGTGAATACAAAAACTGAGCACTGTGGTAGAGGTTAACTCCATTATGGATAAGATTTTATTTTGATAAAGCACACAGTGGTGTTATACAGTAATATTAACTGACGACCACGTTTCGAGCACAAACTATTACCACTCATAATCATATGAAGTCACTCAATCACACAACTTTCTTGCTTCATTCATATACATGAATGAAACTGATTAGACATTCGAATAAAAATCAGTATCAGTCAAATACAATCAGATGGGAAATAAGACGAGTGTTTTTATAGTCGCAATAAGTTACTTAATAGAATGTAATGATGTACTTGAATTGAAATAGAATTTTAAGATTATTTATTATCCTCCTGTGATTTGACTGAGTGGTGGTAATAATATCTTCCATGCATATCTCTGGTATGTGCATTGAGTCATTTCTTTCGCATGTGTTGGGTGTAGACTCGATGAACCGGGCAGGATCCAGTAACCAACCTCTCTCTCCACCTACATAGATTACTTCTCAGAATTTTAACCCTCTGCAACCAGCCTATTGTATGGTGGTGTGTTAATTCGTGAAGTGCAATTGGTGAGCTTTTTTCTAAATTACTTATCTTCTCGGGGTCAACCATCCTTCCTTCAGCTAAATTCTTACGTTCCAACAATCTGATTACCCCCGATCTACTAGTTTGATCTATGTAGTTAACCTCACAGTCATTGCAGGGTATTTTGTAAATTATATTATTTTGTCTAATTGGGTCAACCGGGTCTTTTAGCCTACAGAGCTTGTCCCTACCTGAGTGAGTTTGTAGGTTTGAATGCCACTCTAATTCCTGCTTTATTAGGAATCTTACGTAGGGCCTCAGATGTCCCCTCCTTATGTGGTATAACAGTTGATGACTTTTGTTCTCTCTTATTTATGTTATCATTACTAGTTTAACAATTATTTTTACTTTGTTTCTGACCTATTTTGATCTTTCAAATAAATTTTATGGGATAGTTATCTGACACCAACGCTTCTTCTATCTGTTTCATTTCATCGTTTCGGTTTTTTCTTGTGCTACTTAGTGCTACTGCTCCGTTAATATTACTGTACAACACATTGTGTGATTTATCAAAATAAAATCTTATCTATAATGGAGTTAGATCTTATTTATCTAGTCGGCATCGTTTCAACTACAGGTAGATGGTACGGATAAGGATGTTAAAACCATAATTGGAAAGGCAAGACACACTTTCATCACCATGAAATCTTCCTCACTCATCATAAAGAACAAGATTCGGATTTTGAAACCAACGTTATGTCAGTCAGTTCTTCTGTGTGGTTCAGAGACTTGCCGCCTGAATAACACAAAGTATTTCCGACAGGCTACTGCAGACTTTTATCAACACCCAACTTCGCTCCATATTGAAGACCAATCGGGGACGAACCAATCAGAAACGTATCAAACACACGCTGAGGAGACCATTGAATGACAGGCCCTCGAGTGGAACCCTAATGGGAAACGATAAGCGGGGCGTCCGAGAGTGATATGGAGGACGAGATGCGACAGTATGGGCAATCATGTGGTCAGTTAGAGAGGATCTCCGAGAATAAGCCCTATGTGCCATTTGAAACCCAAGTGAACAATAATAATATCCAGTATTGTGCGTTAGTGTTTCAGAGGTAGAACGCTCACCAACCATGCATGTGGTCCGAAGATCGATCTTCGGCCGATACATTCCTAAACCGTGCTAAGGCGGTAGTAAAGCCAGTAAAGACGGAAGGTTTGGATTGAGGCCAGCAACCTCATCCTGTAAAAATATAGAAAAACCCGCTGCTACCGAAACTACAAAGCTCTAGCGTGAAGCCTTATGTTCCACTAGGGATCGTAACGGAATAAGAAATAATAATACTGGGTTATAAGCCACAATTCTAATACGGGTGAAGGCTAGTGATACTCTACGGCGGTCCACGCTGAAGTAGGCGGAGCATGACTCGAACGTGAGGCCTGCTGACTGGAAGTCGAGTGCTTAGGCAAATAATTAATTGGTCAGTCGCTGACCGCTATAGTTATATCGATAACTGTAGCGAGAGAATTAAAACTGGTTTGTAGTCGAATCCAGATCACATAATTAATTGCTTATAAGACATCGTGAGGACAGTACAGTCACGAAAAATAAGAACCCCTAGTTAAAAGAAGACTTAACCTGTTTTAAGATTATTGAATAGTGTTCTAATCAGTACTTCAAAGGTAATATCAATTATATTGGTTGAGATGATATGACAAAGACACTGGTAGGTGTTAGAAATAGATCTAAAATGGTAGTGAGGGAGCTTGGAACGACTTACCTTACTAATGTATACACTCATCAATCACTAAACTCAATGTAGACTACTTGGTGAAATAATCTGAGGAAAAGCGGAGATCAAGGCAGAGACATTTTTGACGATGTTTGAACTGAAATACCCGGAACAGACTTGTAATGTTCCAGGCTTAGCTACACTCATTATGTGAGTGCCAATGATACCACCCAGCTGTCTAGGCCGAAATAAGTGGAATGGGACTCGATGCCGTGATCTATTTGGCTTAAAATGAGTGCTTAAGCAAGTCGCATTTCCACAGACATGCCGCAATTATTACAATCCAGTATTGATCTGTTTTAAAGATTGTGTCCTAAAAAAAGTCAACTTTAGTTTCCCATTGATAGATTACACCGAAATGTTCCACTTCTGCTGACGCATCGGCTCTCAGTATGGACACACCAACGATGATGGAGGATCAACACATTGATGTTACGCAGTGGATTCGTGGCTGGCATTTCATCGAAATTGACTTAAACAAACAATAGCAACTTATCCCTGATGCACAAGCCCAGTGGAGTTTGAAACGATGGGTATTGGGGTTCGAGTCTCAATGGGGAACGCCATCACTCACAGCGGGTTGAAAGTACATCCAGAAGAAGAGCCGTATATACGGTAAAAATGAGTAATCTAGATTCCACTGCCAGTCACAATCCAACAAATCCAACATCAATGCCTGTCATTACTCATTTCTCTACCTTCCAGTCTAGATTTTACTAATGTCTACCTAAGTGTTCCACTAGATTTTTTAAACTAAACTGAATATGATAAGAAGAATATATATAAGTATACGGCAGTAATTTTTGAAAAAAAGTGGCTTTAAAAATGTTAAAGTGAAGTGATTAAACTACTACTTATTATTATTATCATTAAAGAAAAAAACAGTATCTCACTTCGATAATTTGTTTGATAAAACTGTCAACTGATTCACTTCAGCAGGTGTAATTGAAGATTTCAATGCTTCTACACTTTCTTTATGCTGAGACTCAGAGTCATTGGAATCATTTAACGAGGTACTCGATGATGAACCGTTGTTGTATTCGCTCAACTTTGCTTGATGTTGTAGGATAAGCGTTTCAATACGATAACGTTGTTCAATTAAACGACTGCAAAGTGAACAATAACAAAAAAACACATTTTTGTATTGAATAAAGACAACAATAGCTCAGCAGATAGATGACTGAACTTCCTTTTAAAATCTGTAGTGAATAACTAACTATCTAAGTCTTTGCGTGGGAAACATGTTGTCGAGATTGAAAACCGATTATTGTCATTAAAATATTACTTAAAACACAAAACTTAATACAATATGGTCACTCAGAGATGCTCAACACAACAACTGACTGACTGGTTTCTGCGCCAGATATTGAGAACGACTTTGAGCCAACCATATCACCAATTGTCTCCAGCCTTCATTGGTTTTTACCGTCCCAAAGAACGCAACCAGGAAGTCTACACCTTCCTAGGCGGTTGGCTGGCTTAAACTAACTGTTGTAGATTTTATTGACTAATGAAGCCATGTTCTGGTTTGACCATCACTGCCTCTTTTTCTAACTTGATCCATCCCATATCAGCTGAAATTGCCAATCAAGGAAGGCGATCGATGGCTAGACATGCGTAACACAACACATATCCTAACCATCTCAATCTGAGTAACTTCCCCTCCCTCCTTACCTAGCACTCGACCGATGCCTAACCTCAATATTGCTCACCCTATTATACCACTCCATGAGGGAGATGGAATACAGACACAAGGACAGCTAGCCGGCCTTCTCATGTCTTCCACTCTCAATGGCCAGGTCTCACAGCCATAAGGGAGGAGGGAGCGGACTGCTGGGTAGTACACACACTCTTTGGTCGATAGCCAGTCGGATATCACGTCTACGCCAGAGACGGCGTAAACTGGCATATGCGAAACTAGCCCTCTGTATTCGTGCTGAGATTTCGTCGGAGATCAACCCGTTGAGGCTGATGGTACTTCCCAAGTAAGTGAAGCGGTCAACGTGCTCTACCAATTCACTTCCTATTTGTAATCTAGGAGTCGGTGTAGTCCAATCCTGCAACATTATCTTACATTTTACAGGGGCGAATCGCATGCCAAACATACGAAGATTGTTGCTCAGGGTGTTCAGTAGACTCTGCATTTTGTCAGAGTCCTCACCTAGAAGGACTATATCGTCCGCATATTCTAAGTCAACGAGATTATTCCCTGGTAGCAAGTCAATCCTTGAGTCTCTGAAGTCAGTTAGGGTTCATTCCATTAGTACACCTATGATGAAACTGAATAGAAATGGGGATAGTGGGCATCCCCGACGGACACCACTAATTGTCACCACTTCAGATGACAACTCACCGTAAGCCCTCGCCTGGATGCGTGAGTTTCTCGGTATTCCCTTCACAACCAAACATCGCCATAGTACCTCTCAGTCGACAGAGTAGAATGCCGCTTTCACGTAAAGAAATATGACGCCAGTAAGTATGCCTATGTTTCGTCCCAGAATCTGTCGAAGGATGGGTGAAGATATGATCAATACATCCTCTTCCTAGTCTAAAGCCTGTCTGGTTCTCCCGTGTTTGTGCTTCCCAAGCACCACCTAGTCTACGCATTATTGTTGAGTCTAGAACTTTAGATACCATATCAGTCAAGCTAATCCCCCTGTGATTATCACAGGAAGACTAATCTCCATTATTGTATATGAGGATCATCAATGACTTACACCAACCCGACGGTACTTCCTCTGATTCCCAGATGCTTCCAAGTACCTCAGTTAACGCAGACAGTAAATGGTCTCCACCGTCTTCAAACACCTCTGGAGTCATTCCATCGCGTCCAGCAGCTTTGCCTCCCTTCAGACTAGTGACAACTTTTGTAACCTCAGTTAGGAACGGAGGACCTGGCACAACAGTAGTAAAATAAAGAACTTCTGGTACGGCCGACTTTGGTAAGTGGACTTTGATCTTCTTCTTCTCGGAAAGCTCTCATGAAACCACGAATTTATAGCCTACTACTGTCAGGTAAGTCCTACTTACTGCTTTTACATGGCTTGGGTGTTCCTTACAAAGTGAAAAAGGGCAAATGTGAACGTTTGGCGCATACAACAGGACTAGTGTATGTTTAAACGACCTAAGGAGACTGTAAAACCTTGATTTCAAATTTATGGTGTACAGAGGCTCAAAAAGCCGAAAGTTTTGAATGGATTTTGAACCTTCCTTGTCTGTGAGTCTTCAGTAGAACGCACTCACCAGGGATCGAAATCAAGGCCTTAAGATTACTAGGCCAAGGTCATTTAGCCATTCACCTACACGGGCTGGAAACCACCAATAGTCACCCTCATGAATTCTAACTTATATTTCAGTTATTGAAGGTCTAGGAAGACAATGAAAGTTTTAGCGATCAAACCACTTGGCTCAGAAAACATAACCAAATTTTTTTTAAACATTCAAATTAGCTAAAAGAAAATCTCCTGTATGATATATAGGCTTATGAAGCAGGCACTTTAAAGCTCATACATAAAATAGGAATAAATAAACACAATAATGAGAAACTAAATTTACCTTTTCTGTGAGAATTCATGATCACGTCTCAGGGATAAACGATAAACTTCATGCTGAGATAGTTCAATTACCAGTCTAGCCAACTGAAGTAAATTAATTGAGTATAAGCAATAGATAGTTTCTGCTGAATAATCTTTAGTCCGTGATAATTCCTTGAGAGAAAAAAACCCACAGTTTTAGAAGAAAAACAAACAAACAATTACAGAATTCAAGAGTTGGTTTGTAGGGATTTGATTTGTTTTTCAGGTTTGATCACGGATCAGTATCAGTTTGAGAACCACTGGAAACCAACAGGGAGAACTGGACAGTAATTCACGGACTATTGGACCGGGTACCACCAATGGCCTAATGGCTTGTCTTGTAACCGGAAGGTCCTGGGTGGTTAATGTGTGATGATGTGAAGAGTCTCAAACTAGGACGAAACGGATGTCCAGTAATTCCCGGTTTTCCAATGGTTCTCCAACACTGACATCAAACCTGAATTAAAGAATTAGCCAATTGGTTTCACATCTTATACAAAAAGATATCAAACATTAAATGAAATCACTCGTTGAAGATTTGATTTTGATAATTAATAAAAATTTATAACTAAGGTTATGGATAAGAATTCTTTAATGTTCTCTGTGCTTTGGCATTTGACCACTAACGCTGCATTACCAGGATTGGTGGTAATTTTAGTGTGCAACTCATTAGGAGGTGAGGTGTATTTGAAAGCTGTATGAACGTGGTGAGAGCTGTCTGCTAGCCAAAATTGGTAGACAGTAATTTACATCAATGTTCACGTCCCAAATCGTGGCCATGAGAAAGAACAAAGACTAACTCAACAACCAATCACAGGAGACTTTGCATGGGCGGATACGATTCGCAGATATATGGTCTGACCATCAAAGAAACGGCCACAAAGAGATGACAAAATAACTTACAGCGAAAAAACAACCAATCAAAAGACTCTGTTTCTCTGATAACAATAACCTATAATAATGTACATAAAAATCTATAAGTATCTGTTGATTTCCTCAATAAACGATCTGTTGCCTGGCCCTTGTCTTCTGTCGTTACGTGAATATTTACCTGCCTCACTTCGCTTTATCCACCTGCAAATGAGGGAAGCGATTTTTACTTAGTAACCATTTGCCATTTCAACATGTTGCGCGCAAAGTGAGGGTAATTATTCTTTGTCATGCGTTATTGAGCCCCACTAGTGATCTATTGGCTTGACATTTTTCAACTGCTTGAGAGATGATTGGTTTTATTCTTGTATATGGGCTGTAGATTGAGTCTATGTAGTCATTACAGTTATAAGTCTCAGATCATTGAAAACCAGGTGGCAATGGACAGTTGTTTCGTCCTAGTTTATGAATCTCCAGCAGTGTGCACGCACGATCCCGAAACAGGGATCGAACCGGGTATCCTCAGGTTACTAGACCAAATTCGTCGACTATTCAGCCACTTGGGTCAGAATTCAGTGACCTGTGAATTCGTCATACAGCGTTACCTTCAGCTGATGCCCTTGATTAGCACCGCTTCACACTAACATGGTGAACCCCACTGGCCATGACTCCTTAATACGTCTTCAGGACATCCATTCGGTAGGCATTAAAATGTGTTGGACACTGACATATAGATTATGGATTTTTGTAGGTTACGCTTGGCCACTTAACCTGATGGACACGGGGGTTCGATCCGTGGTGGGGTCATGCGTTCGCAATGTTGAAGAGTCGCAAACTAGGATGAAACAGCCATCCGGTGCTTCCTGGCGGTTTTCAATGATCTCTAACTGATGTGTTGATTCACAACGAAATCTACACAGAAATTTATCCGAATTTCTATACGTCACGTTGAATAACGCGTTGAACTGCAAAAATTACATTTAGAAATGACGCGAATAGTGATTATGACAGAAGACGTCACATAAGCTATTATGCTGATGAAAAGATAGTGTTATATAAGAGAAGCAAAAACGCTAAATAGATATTTGAATAATGCATGTAATCCTTGTCGAGCGAAATTTGAGTATTTGCAACAAATAGAGAAAACCAACAAAGAGATTTAGATTGTCAACTATATTAAGCGTTTCCAGAAATTAGATATCATATCGATCACTACACCATAAAATTAAAAGTTACGTAATCACTCTACGAGTGCGTCGGTGGCACAGTGGTGGAGTACTAGCCATCCACGCAGGTGGTTCGGAGTTCGGTCTCCGGCCACAGACGCATGTCTTTACTCACTAAGCCAGTAGTAAGATTGGTAAAGAGGGAAGGTTGAGCATGAGGCTAGCAACTCCATCCCGTAAAAGTAAACACTACTGCTACCGAAACTCTAAGCCTCTAGCTTGAAGCCTTATGTTCCACTGGGAACGTTGAGGAAAATAAATTAATTTACAAACAAAACGCACAGTACGCTGATTAATACGCAGGCCTGTACAGAAAAAAGTATTTGTATTATTATTCTTCCGTTGGGTTCCAAGCGGAAAATAGGGTCTCAACTTCACATCTCCGTTTCACTCAGTTCTCTGCAGTCCTCCCTTTAGCTGTCTCCACGATTGCCCATAATTTTTCATTTTCCCCTCCTCACATGATCTCGTCCGTATGACTCACAGATTTACACCCAACTCGTCGTTTTCCATTCAAGTTATAGTCAACCTACGGTCTGCTGTGCAATGTCATCAGATGGTTCCTCCTGCGTGTGTCCGATCCATCTCCATCTTCTGCGGCATAATTTCTGACCAATAAGATCTTGATTGGTTCGGTCCCAGAGTTCCTACTTCTCATCCTTTCTGACCAGCCAACTAATCTTCAGTATGGAGCCAATGAAGGAGCCAACTGTCAACAAATGCCTGCTGTAATCTTTTAGAAATGCTTCTCGTGACACGAGTGCCAAGTTTCCCACCACCAGAGAAGAACTGACTTACATAACATCGGTGAGTACTAGTGGTGTCCGTCAGGGATGTTCACTATCCCCATTTCTATTCAGTTGCATCATAGATGTACTAATGGAATTAAGCCTAACTCACTTCAGCGACTCAGAGATTGACTTGCTACCAGGGAATAATCTCGTTGACTTAGAATATGCAGACGATATAGTCATTCTAGGCGAGGACGCTGACAAAATGCAGAGTCAACTGAACACCTTGAGGTGCAATCTACGAATGTTTGGCATGTGATTCACTCCCGCCAAATGTAAGATGATGTTACAGGACTGCACTACACTGACTCCTAGTTTAGAAATACGGGGTGAAGTGGTAGAGCACGTTGCCAGCTTCACTTATTTGGGAAGTACCATCAGCCCCAACGGGTTGATCTCTGATGAAATCTCAGCACGGATACACAGGGCTAGTTTCGCATATGCCAGTTTACGCCATCTCTGGCGTATACGTGATATCCGACTTTCGACCAAAGGGCGTGTGTACTGCTCATCAGTCCCCTCCGTCCTCCTTAATGCCTGAGACCTGGCCATTGAGAGTGGAAGACATGAAAAGATTAGATGTCTTTGATCATAGGTGTCTGCGTTCTATCTCCCGTGTGAAGTATTATAATAAGGCGAGCAATATTGCGGTTAGGCGTCGAGTTATAGGTAAGAAGGGGAAATCAATATACGAGGCTGTGAAATTACATCGATTGAGATGGTTAGGACATGTGCTACGTATGACTAGTCATCACCTTCCTCGACAATGGGTAATGTTAGCTGACATAGGGTCAGGCTGGAAAAGAGCTAGCACGTTGTGGTCAAACCAAAACATGACTTCACCAGTCAATGAAATCTACAACAGTTAGTCTAAGCCACGTAGGAAGGTGTAGACTTCCTGGTTGGGGTCCTCGGGACAGTAAAAACCAATAGCTGGAAACAATTGGTGATATGGTTAGCTTAAAATCGTTCTCAATGGTGCAGATGCATCCACTCCTTGTGACTTATGATTTCCAATGAAACTATATTCTTCTTTGTTATTACTATTCCTTTATCTCACACCTGTTTTTTTATTCCTTCACGTTCCCAGTGGAACATAGGGCTCCAAGCTAGAGTCTTGAAGTTTCGGTAGCAGTGTTTATTTCTACAAGATGGGGTTGCTAGCCTCATGCCCAACCTTGCCTCTTTACCAGTCTGACCACTGGCTTAGTGGAGGAAAGGAGTGCGTCGACTGGGGATCGAATCCGGGACCATGTGCATGGTCGGCGAGAGTCCTAACCGCTGTACCACCGATGCACACACCTCTGTTTACTGTCTATATTATGCATTTCTTCTACTTTTTTCTCTTGCTTTGTGTGCTACATGAAGGGAGTGTGGCGACCTGAACTGCTGTACATCAGTGCAAAGTTCTATGTCGAAAACAAACAGATATCGGTGTTGAAAATCCGAATTTTGTTCCTTGTGCTCAGTGCAACAGATTTCCAAACCGATTTCAGATTGATAAAGGTATATCTTGCCTTTCTGATTCTGACTTTTACATTCTCATCCGTTCCACCTGTGGATGAAACAAAGCTTCCTAGAAAAGTGAAGGAAGTTAGTGGCCTGTTTCAAATTTCTCGCATTGATAGTGATTGGTGCCTGTTATTCCTGGTACAAGCATTTCTACTTACGGCAAAATGTACTTTTAAATATACACATATATAGGACTCTTAACACCAATGTAGAGAAAGTAGATGAGTTTAATATTATCTTGAAAAAAAAACCGAAGTATAATCTAAGGTACTTACAGTTGTTGCAACGAAACCCATAGATACCATGCGTGGAAGTATTCGTCGGAAATCACTTTGAGGTAGTAGAACTCTTCGTTCAATCTATAAAAGAAAAACAGAATCAATACAGTTTCGTTTAAAACAAACGAATTTTCAGATATTTCTGATGGAAATGTGAATTTATTGGCTTAAGCACTACACTAAAAGCCTTCAGGTAATAAATAGTTCCTGGGTCAGACACCCACTCTCCACCTTTAGCTTCAGCGATTGGACAGTATCAGCATCCATTAAAAATGTGATTCATACGCTGGTATGTGTGAAACTTGGTCGAGGTGAGTGAAGTTTGACAACTAACTCAGTACAACAAAACAGTGGAAATTCATTGAAACACTTAAAACATCCACACCCCTTCCGATAATCCTAAGATAGGACTCAAATAATAACAGTTACTATAAAGCATTCAATTCTGTGACTCCATGTGTTCACAAATAAATCAGAAATTATCAAGTGTCAGTTTGTAGGGATTTTGATTCTTCAGAGGTTTGATTACTAGCTGACATTAGTAAGAGAACTATTGGCTGGTGGTTGAGCCGTTCCAATCCATCCCAGTGGTTGAATGGTCTACAAAATTGCCTTGTCATCTGACCTGGAAGTCCTAGGTTCAAATTTAGGTGGGTGCGTACTATTGAGGAGTCCCGAACTGGGACAAAACAGTTGTTCAGTACATCCTGGTCGGTTTTAATCGTTCTATAACTGACATCAGCTTTGATATGCTTAACAAATACACCGAAGAAAATGGAGACAGATCGGAGACACTCAGAAGAGACTGTTTGGTGACATCACACACCAGATCGTCGCTTGTATGGAACTTCAGTGGGGAAAGAAGAATTAGGCGTCCCAGGGCGACATGAAGGGAACTGTGTGGGGAGGAGACGAGGACTTATGGGCGATCACCAAGCCGTCTACAGAGGACCGCAGAGAACAAGATTAAATGGAAATATGCTTTGGAAACCCTACATTCTACTTTGAAACCAAGGTGACAATAGATAATAATCTATCACTTACCTCTTCTAAATTTGACGGTCCCGTAAGTAATAGATATCGGAAAATCCGTAAACCGTTTGTATCAAATCTAGAGGGAAAACATGGGGGAATATTTATTCATAATCTAGAACAACAAGCAATATTATGTTATATAACATTTTTCTTCACGAAACACCATTAAAAAAATAAATAAGGACTCTGCGATGACACAGTAACCCTACAATAATATTGACAGAAGACGTACTGACTATTGAAAAAGGTTTGAAAAGAAGAATAGGTGCACCTAGTGATTGGAAGAAAGGCCATCTTGTCAAACTGCCAAAGAAGGGCAACTTACGCCTCTGCAAGAACTGGTGCGAAATAATGCTCTTGTCTACTCATGCCAAGTAAAATACTAAGTCGCGTCATCCTGGAGAGAATAAAAGTGGCACCAGATGCAGAACTCCACCAGCACCGAACAAGCTGGATTCAGGAAAGACAAATTGCATGCTGATCAAGTTGTAACTCTACGCGTCATCATCATCGAACAAAGAACAAAATGGAAGCTAAACTTTTACCTCAACTTCATCGGCTTCGAAAAGGCTTTCGATGGCTTTGACGACGAAGTAATTTGGAAACTACTTCAATACTACGGCGTAGTTCAAATCTTCAACAACTTCATTCAACAGCTACATGACAATATCTCATTTCAGGTGACGCACACGGGAAAACTCAAAGAGTAGTTTGACTTGCTACCAGGGAATAATCTCGTTGACTTAGAATATGCGGACGATATAGTCCTTCTAGGCGAGGACTCTGACAAAATGCAGAGTCTACTGAACACCCTGAGCAACAATCTCCGTATGTTTGGCATGCGATTCGCCCCTGTAAAATGTAAGATGATGCTGCAGGATTGGACCTCATCGACCCCTAGATTAGAAATAGGAAGTGAAGTGGTAGAACACGTTGACCGCTTCAATTACTTGGGAAGTACCATCAGCCCCAACGGGTTGATCTCAGACGAAATATCAGCACGAATACAGAGGGCTAGGTTCGCATTCGCCAGTTTTCGCTGTCTCTGGCGTAGACGCGATATCCGACTATCGACCAAAGGGCGTGTGTACTGCTCAACAGTCCGCTCCGTCCTCCTTTATGGCTGTGAGACCTGGCCATTGAGAGCAGAAGACATGAAAAGACTAGCTGTCTTCGATCATAGGTGTCTGCGTTCTATCTCCCGCGCGAAGTGGTATAATAAGCTGAGCAATATTGAGGTTAGGCGTCGAGTGCTAGGTAAGGCGGGGAAATCAATCGACGAAACGGTGAAATTACTTCGTCTGAGATGGTTAGGACATGTGCTACGTATGCCTAGTCATCGCCGTCCTCAACAATGGGCAATGTTAGCTGACATAGGGTCAGGCTGGAAAAGAGCTAGCGATGGTCAAACCAAAACATGGCTTCATCAGTCAATAAAATCCACAACAGTTACTTCAAGTCAGCCACGTAGGAAGGTATAGACTTCCTGGTTGGGGTCCTCGGGACGGTGAAAACCAATGAAGGCTGGAAACAATTGGTGACAAGGCTCAAAATCGTTTTCAGTGTCTGGCGTAGATGCATCCACTCCTTGTGACTTATGATTTCAAATGAAATTATATTGTTCTTCGTTATTACTATTCCTTTGTCTCACATCTCTGTTTACTGTCTCTAATATGCATTTCTTCTACTTCCTTCTCTTGCTTTGCGTGCTACATAGATTGTGGCGACTTGAACTGCCGCATAAAATGGACCCTCACAAAGAAAACTTGGAGGATCTGCGCTTCGCTGATGATATATGTCTGATTTCCCACAAACTGGAAGATATGCAAGTGAAAAGCAGCAAGTTGGCAGAAGAAGCATTCAGAGAAGATAGGACTTTAGGTGAACATAGAGAAAACAGAGGTTAAGACTCCTGGCCAACAACAACAGACAGCAAAAATAGGAAAAATCTGACAGAAGCAACCTCCTTCACTTACCTTGGAAGCATCGTTTCAACCACAGGTAGACGGAACTGATGAGAATATCAAAGCAAGAATAATCGCGAAAGCAAGGCAAGCTTTCATTACTCTCAAGTCTGTGTGGAAATCAACAGCACATATGTGCAAAGCTCTATGTCGAAAACCGACCGACCGACCGAGTTTGAAGTGAATACAGGAGTAAGACAAGGCTGTCTATTATCACCCACGATGATATTCTTAATTGTGGTGGACTGGATTATGCGTCAGACTGTGGGGAGCGAGGGGACAGGAATACGCTGGATGACCGATACGAAGACTCCAGAAGATCTGGATTTCGTGGGTGATTTATGTTTAATGTCACACAAACTCGAAAACTTACGGACGAAAACCAATAACCTAGCTGAAGAAGCAGCGAAGACAGGACTCCAGGTTAACATAGAGAAGACGGAGGTGATGAAGATAACCAACCAACCAACAACAACAACCAGCACTAGTCACTATCAACGGACGGAATTTGTAACAAGCCACTTCCTACACTTATCTAGGAAGCATTGTTTCGATCACAAGTGGAACGAATGAGAATGTAAAAGTCAGAATCAGAAAGGCGACATGTACCTTCATCAATGTGAGATCGGTTTGGAAATCTGTTGCACTGAGCACAAGGAACAAAATCTGGATTTCCAACAGCGATGTTATGTAAGTCAGTTCTTCTATGGTGATAGTGGAAAACTTGGCGCTCGTGTCACGAGAACCATTTCTAAAAGACTACAGCAGGAATTTATCAACAGTTGCCTCCTTTACTGGTTCCATACTGAAGATTAGTTGGCTGGTCGGAAAGGATGAGAAGTAGGGAACTCTGGGAACGAACCGATCAAGATCTTATTGTTCAGAAAATATATCGTAGAAACTGGAGATGGATTGGGTACACACTGAAGAGACCGTCGAGTGACACTGCTTGCCAGGCCATCGCTCAGGTTAAATAACCTATCTAAATATGATTGGTCATTAGTATGTACTTTTGTGTTTTTTATTTTACTGACTAATTGTCATGAACTTTATTTTATTATTGTTAACCATGTTAGTTGTAAAGCGGTTGTAAAGAAACTACGAAATGATATCATCTCGCAAAATATGTCTTCTAAATGCCTTATTCAAATTTATCAAAGGGACTAATTGTTTTAACATTATATATATATATATATATATATACATGCGATTGTACAGCTAACAAAATGAATTCGCCACCGAAAAGAGATCTAAAAGAAGCTTATGAGCGATCGTGCAGCCAATCAGGTCCTCTAGTGAATGAATGAATCAATGAAGTATGCAACTTATTTTATCAAGAACAGTAAAGACAAATAGCATCAACAACAAAAAATCAATTAGCATGCAAGATATACAAAGCCTACAAAAATAGAACTTACAAAATTTGAATTATATACTCGACATTCCTGACGAATAGATGTTTTACAACGTATTTATAGGCTAATTTTAATTTAAATATTAAGGAAAGTATTACAAAAATATATGTGTAGAAAAATAAAATTCTATCAACTGAAACAGAAAGTAGGCAGATTGGTCAAAACTTCGTAATTTTTTCAAGGGACTGTTCACATATTATGCACATTTTGATAAGTAGCCATCAGTTGTACGATAATGCTGCATGACAAGTAATCCACAACGGGAAACTCAAGGAATCTTTCGAAGTGAAGACGGGAGTAAGACAAGGCTGGTCGCCCAATACCTACAATGAATTTCCTGATTGCCGTAGACTGGATAATACGACAGACAGCAGGCAACGAGAAGACAGGCATAAAATGGACCCTCACAAAGAAAACTTGGAGGATCTGCACTTCGCCGATGATACATGTCTGATTTCCCACAAACTGGAAGATATGCAAGTGAAAAGCGACAAGTTGGCAGAAGAAGCATCAAAGATAAGACTTCAATTCAAGTGAACATAAAGGAAAAGAGGTGATGAAGACTCCTGGCCAACAACAACAGACAGCAAAAATGGGAAAAATCTGAAAGAAGCAACCTCCTTCACCTACCTTGAAAGCATCGTTTCAACCGCAGGTAGATGGAACTGATGAGGATATCAAAGCAAGGATAATCACGAAAGCAAGGCAAGCTTTCATTACTCTCAAGTCTGTGTGGAGATCAACACCACTACTCACCATGAAAAATAAGAACGGAATTTTCAACTCTAATGTGAAGTCAGTGCCGAGTGAAAAAAAGTTTCAAATTTCAAGTCAATAAAAATGATCAATAAAGATGTAAATTAACAACCAATCACGACAAAGGAGGTTGTCAGCAGATACAATTATATCTTTCACATGGAGAATTCAAGTAAGTTGATACTTCATATCAAAGCGTGCGTTGAAGATGATACTGTCTAGAAGGACAATAACAGCTTAGCAATCCAACTACCAACCAGCTCAGAGAATGCAGTCACATCAAAAATATCCAACTTTTGAGCATTTTCTTTTTCTTTAAATATTTTTTTACTATGATGACTTGGAGTAATCCAGCAGTATGTCATTGTCTGTAGCATACGTACATACACAATGAATTATTTGAAATTTGATCACGGACTGATATCAGTCAGAGAAACATTGAAAATAGACCAGCGACTACTGGACCTCTGTTTCGTCCTAGTTTGGGACCCTTTCATCAGTCCGCACCAACAACCTTATCGGAAATCGAACCCGAGAACTTCAGATTACGAAGTGTGTTTGTTTACTACACACAGCTACTGGGAAAGAATCCAATCACCGATCAAGTCTAACTTATGTTAATTGGCAATTTTAGCGCCATGGTCAGCCAATGTCATCGGCACGAGTATTTGTCCTCACACTTGACTTGGTGGCCGACTTTCCACTGGAACTTCAGGCAACTTCACCCTGCAATCAGTCACTAGTCAGCTTTAGATTAAATTTTGACGACATTGGCTGGTCACGGCGCTGGAAATTGAGAATTGATATGAGCAGGAATTTATGGGCCGTTGGATTGCATCCCAATGACTAAATGGTTAACGAGCTTGACTCGTAACCGGTCGGTCGGTTTTCGACATAGAACTTTGCACATATGTGCGGCAGTTCAAGTCGCCACACTCCATGTAGCACAGAAAGCAAGAGAAGAAATGCATAATAACCTCGTAACCTGAAAGCCCTGCCCTGGGTTTAGATCCCTGGTAGGGCTATGGGTGCATACGGCTAAGGAGCCACAAACTAGGACGAAACGGCCGTCCAACACTGTCCGGTTTCCAAAAGGTTCTCTTCGCCAACTCACACCAATTCCTTGTCAAACTTGAAACACACCCAAAACCTAAAGAAACTAATACTTCATAATTATTCAACTGTCTTAAACATCACCTATCAAAACAAGATTTTGTGGCGAATCGGTCACTAAATGATTACCCAATCCTAAGTGTTGACTAGACAACTAAAATTGGTCAGCATGAGGCAACACCTAGACGTGTAAATTTAACTAGTCCCACAGAAGACTAGTCATAAACTCAACAAGTTTGGTGGTGTAATCAATAGCATTGGCATTAAAACTGATGCTCGTCTACATTTTGGAGGGAACATGAGTTTTCCCCAAAGTTGACGAATACTAACTAGGCCAACGGACTCCACCTGCCAATTGATTTCAAGGAATAACATTCAGAAACATACAGTCAGTCATATAACTTAATTAAAATCATATAAACATGACAATAAATATGAAATTCTCCTGTTACACACACTTCCTCATAGTATTAATCAATATAAAAACTTAAAACTATTGGTAACAATTGCAATGTACAGTAATCGAAAGGATACGACATGTATACATATATCCGCCCAATCCAGGTTGTTGTAACAGAAATTTCATCTACAAAATAATTTACAGTAAAAAACAAAAGGCAATTCATTTAAAGAATGGATTAAACGAACAAAGCAAAATCTAGTACGTACAATAAGTTCAATGATTAGAAGAAATCGTGTTCGGAAGTGACGATAAGGAAGACATTAAACCCACTACGTGAAACCCTACTAGAGAACGGCTATCCTCCAAGATTCATAGACAAAAACATGAAAGAAAAGTCTCCTAAGAAACCCCGTTTCATGAACCTGGAATTCAAAGGTGACATCGCAGCGGAAATTCTTAGAAACTGCCTTACTAAATTTCTGAAGAAGACGTATCACATTCTCCGGAAGACAATTAATCCAGTCTAACGTTAAGGGCAAGATATCGCTTTTGGCCACCTTAATGTGTATTAACCAGTTTATTTGCAAAGTATATTGGCCATATGCAACGTCAAGTCCCCAAACGAATTCTGGAATATTTTCCAGCTTGGTTAACCAGAGGAGAAAAGAAGAATAGCAGCAGATCCATCCTCGAAGACCTTGTCAACTCTGGACATCAAGCACCCCTGCATGAATGTTGCATAGTGCTACACAGAGTCCCTCAATATCGTACGAAAGGACTTAGAATACGACATCTGTACATAGCTGAATCATTGGCTATTTAGGATCTGAAAGCGGACCTCTACATTCAAAAGCACTACATACATTCACTCGCCCCACCGTGGCCAGAGTAAATTTCCCACCATACTTTTGCTTCCTTTTGTTAACTAAGTCTCCTGTTATTACTATTATTATTATCATCATTCGTCTTTTATTATCACTCTATTACTATTTATTAATAACATTGCGTTTTCATACAGTTTTTACATAAAAACACTTTATCATCTTTCCACTAATTACTGTCCAATCTACACAATCATACTGATTAGTGATTTTCTTACACTTATTACATCATGTCAATTTCTGCCTCTTTCTAACTTCCAATTAGTCACCCTATCCAGGTTACACCTTACATTGCGTAATACGTTTTTCGAGGACACATTTTGCCAGTATCTTATGATTTCTTTGTTAAATATAATTACGATTGTACAGCTTATAAAAATGAATCACCGAAAAGAACATTTTCCTCGCTGTTGACGTCTTTTTCGTATGACTCAATATAGGAATATTTCGTTTATTAAGAAACGAAAAACATACCTTAGCAATTTAATACTGCTATTTCCTTTTAGTATGAAAGCGACCTACTTCCAATGTAGGTCGGTTATAGAGGAAACCACTAGGGAACACTGGACAGATGTTTCATCCTACTTCGAGACTCTTCATCAATGTACAGCACCTAAGGTTCCAACAGGAATCGAACTCACGACCCTCAAGTTACAAGAGACCAAGCTTATTAGCCATTCAACACCTTGGGTGGGAATACGATGATCCGTGAATTCTGACTCTGTCAACTCGTGGTATAGTGTCACCCTAAACAAATGCCTTCGATGAACATACACATCACCGTGGCATATGGTCGACCCCAACTAGGGACGACATCTCACTACTACAGCTTCACGACATCGATCCAGCAGTTATCAGTGAAGTGAAGATTCATATTTAGATTTAAGTATTTCGTTGGCCAGTGGCATTCATCAGGCCAAGATGAAGTGTACGCTCAGCGGAGGTACTGTTTGAATTAGTGAAGTGAGAATTCACGAGTCATTGAATTGCTGCCCAAATGACTGAATGATTAACTAACGTGGTCTTGTAGCCTGAAGAGTCCCCCGGTTCGGTCCCTGACGGGGTCGTGGGTGCGCATTAATGACGATTCCTAAAGAGTATACGGTGAAAAAGCTGCCCAGGTGTGTAACAGTTGAAACTCTCTTTAAAGATGATAGAACAAAGCTAGATAAATGTTTACTGCCACACATACACTACTTGAAGAATAGTGAAGAGATAAAAATAAATCTTCATTCCTTTGCGTTCCGAGTGGAATACAGGAAGCTTCGACGTTTCAGTAGCTATTGTGATGTTGCCTTTTAAAGGGTGAGGTCGCTGGTCTCACGCTGAACCTCCCCTCTTTACTAAGCTTCATATTTGTCAAGAAAAGTTTACGAGTGTGTCAGCCAGGAATCGAACACCGGACGACGTTCGGCGTGGTTGGCGAGCATTCTACCGCTGAAGCGTCGACGCAGATAAGAATAAAGAGGGAAACAATAAAAATAATTAATAAGTAAGTTGTTTTTTTCGTCGGAGGTAAAGTACCAAAAACCAAAATCAAATAAAATTACCAAATGAAATTACCTCATCATCTATCAGGAGAGAAATGTATGAAGATACGAAATCCGGTACAGTTCGCATACTTCGTAAAAGCTGAATAACAAAACATCATTTATACACAAAAGTGTTAGTAGTAGTAGTTGGAGACAAAAGCTTATCAACTGTTAATAAAATTAACTGACATAGACAACTGATGTTAACGTGCAGATTTCATGACGAGCTGACATCGATTAGCGAATCATTGAAAGACCTAGGAGTACTGGACAATCCTTTCGTCCTAATTTGGAACTCTTCATCAGTATGCACCCACTACCAGGGCTCGAACCTAGAACCTTCTGGTTACAACGTGAGTCAGTAGACCACTCAGCCGCCAGGGCCCAATCCGACGGCCCATGAATTCCAACTTCCACCGATTTGCGAAGTATAGTGCAACCGCTAGTAAATATCACCGGCAAGTAACTGTCCTCTTACCTGCCTTGATGGACCCCACTGCATCGGGATCCAGTAGCTGAATAGTCTGCGAGCTCGTCTACTCATCGGAAGGTCGTGGGTTCGAAACCCGGTGGGTACGTACTGGTGAAGATTCCCAAACAAGGAAGAAACAGCTGTTCACTACTCTCTGGTTTTCTAATGGTTCTCTAAGTGGTGCCAACCCGTGATCAAAACTGTAACTAAGCACATCATCTCTGCAAATCGACACTTGATGGTGTTAACGTGGTAAGGTACTAATGATTGAAGTTGAAACCCAGACACATAGTTTGTATTCCAATCTTCGTTCGTACTTAAAAAACGATCTTACAACACACACCAATTAGTAATCTATAATATTATCTGTAATGATTAAATAGTGACTATAAAGAAAGATGCTTAATGCATTTTAGAATCACTGAGCCCCTCTAGTTTGTTTTATTATTATTATTATTCCCTTGGGTTCCTAGTGGAACATAGGGCTTCAACCGAACGTCTCCACTTGCTTCTGTCTTCTGCTGTACTTTTCACATGCATCCATGTTAGTCCATACTGTTTCAACTCCTCTTCACACGATCTCCTCCATGTCACCCTTGGATGTCCCACTCGCCGCTTCCCTTTCGGGTTCCAGTCGAGGGCGTGACACGCGATGTCACCCAGCGGCCTCCTCAGCGAGTGTTCAATCTATCTCCACTTTCTCCTGCACATTTGTTGAGCGATTGGTTCTTGTTTTGTTTGTTCCCATAGCTTCTTGTTGGTGATTCTTTCCGGCCATCTGATCTTCAGCATAGAGGGAAGACAGCTGTTGATAAATGTCTGCAACCTGTTGGAAATATTCTTTGTGACCCACCAAGTTTCTGATCCGTATAGAAGAACTGACTGACTTGACGTTTGTATTGAAAATCCGAATTTTGTTGTTGATGCTGAGTGACGAAGATTTCCAGATTGGTTTCAGGTTGATGAATGTGTTTTCCACCTTCCCGATTCTCGATTCGACATCCTCGTCCGTTCCATCAGTTAACATAACTGTACAACACTGTGTGATTTATCAAAATAAAATCTTATCCATTATGGATTTATACTCTACCACAGTGCCCAAGTTTTATACTTATATCAATAATGCGTTCCTCCTGTAGTTGAGACAGTTTGTTAAATTAGCTTCTGGTACATTTTATAGGTACATAGGAAATAATGCTATAGTACATGTTGTCAAATCTTCCAAATAAATTTTTTTCATATGGCCAAATCCTGCTTTTGACTGACTTAGCAACAAGAATTATACTGTCAGTTAAGCATATATGATCATTCAATGAATCTGATTTTGAACTGGATTTTCAACACAGGACTGTTAAGGATGAATTGAAGCCACATCACCAACCAACAGTCACTGAGTCATCCTAATTCTACCGGTTATTCCTATACATGTAACTGATTGAGATGATGACAACATGTGTTGTCTTGTGCAAGTTAAGCCATTGCCTTCCTCGACAACGGGCAATGTTAGCTGACTGACATAGGATGGATCAGGTTGGAAAAGAGCTAGCACACGGTGGTCAAACTAAAACATGGCCTCATCAGTCAATGAAATCCACAACAGTTAGTTTAAGCCACCCAGCCACGTAGAGAGGTGTAGACTTCCTGGTTGGTTGGGGTCCTTGGGATGGTGAGAACGAATGAAGGCTGGAGACAACTGGTGATATGGCTAGTTCAAAATAGTTCACAATGGCTGGCACAGATGCATTCACTCCTTGTGATTTATAATATCCAATACAATGCTATTGTTTTTCAATATTAGCATTCTTTTTGCCTCATATTTCTGTTTATCTTTGTTTCGAATCTTTTTTTACTCTCTTCTCTGACTTTGTGTGCTACATGGAGGGAATGTGGCAACTCGAGCTGATACACATCTGTGCAAAGTTCTACATTGAAACCAGTCAGTGAGTCACATCTATATCTACTCAAATGAATTAACAGCAATATAAAATGCAACAAAATACAATACACAAATCTCACCTCTGCACGTGAAACAGCTCCTGATTCTGGAGATGTTATTCCTGTGCCACGATTAGCAGCTGTAGCAATGCATAATAAGTGTGATAGAATATCACCACATGCCTAAATAATTTAATATTAAAGTAAAAAACAAACGATCATTTACAGCAAAATAAACGCAGAATAAGATGAATGAAAGAACATGATAAGTAAGCCACAGGGGTGGTGGTGGGGCGGGGAGGGTTAAAAGAAAACGCAGACTTACTTCACCAAGTTTTTCACTAGCCAACTGACATATCAATCGATCACGCCACATTGTTTCTAACGTTTGAATATTTGGACAGACTACTAATTTCAAAGATTTGGCCAACTGTAAAGAAGATAAAAAAAGCCAGTCACTCAATATTGTTTTAGAATGCATTCGTAGATAATAATAATAATATAGTAGTTCAAATTAGCTCCAAATCATCAGTACTACTTCCATACAAAGAAGGAATCTGGGAAACCTTATGCAGAATTCTTAACAAGGCAGGGATAAAAGTGGCTGGCATTCAAACCACCCGCAAACTCAATTAGAAACAAGCTTTGTCGGTTAAATGATCAATCAATAAAACAAAACAATTTAGTTTATCTAATTCCCTGCCTGCAATGATTGTCGGATCAAATACATAGGTCGAAGTAGTAGAACAGGTACAGTCGGACTAGCTGAGCATAAAAACCTAGCAAAATCTAGATTAATTGACCCGAATAAGATAAGAAATCTAGAAAACAGTTCTGCTATAGCACTCACCAGTTACAACTACACCCAACCATACAATAGGCTGGATGGGATAAGATGACAGTTTTAAAATCTTATGTAACACCAGGGATGGAAGGAGAGATTGATAACGGAAGCTTTTTTTATCGAATCAACTGCAAATACATGTAACAGGAATGATTCAACACATGTCCCAGACGGATATCTGGAAAATTCTATTACCCCTACGACGATAAATAGGAGAGAACAAAGAAAACTATAAAACTCAAGTTTCGAAGTCGTGGGATTATAATTGACTGAAATGATGATTATGAACAGCAATAAATTTTCAAGTATTGGTTTGTAGGGATTTGGTTGATTGGTTACAGGAACTCATCATGAGCTGACATTGGTTAGAGAACCATTGGAAAACCTGGGAGTACTGGACAGCTGTTTCGTCCTAGTTTGTGACTCTTCATCAGTACACACCCACCGGGGTTCGATCCCAGTGGCTTTAAATGCCAGGACAAAATAAATAGACAAACAGAAGGTGTAGCAATGGGATCACCAATATCCCCTATCATAGTAGATATCTTCATGGACAGGTGGGAAAATATTGCTCTACATACATTTAATCCTACTGCAAAGATAATAAGGTGGAGATATGTGGACGACACTTTCACAGTGTTAAAAACACAACAGATCTCTAGCTTCTTCACACATATAAATTCACTAGTAAAGGGAATAAAATTTGCATTTGAATCAGAAAATGAACAAGGAGAATTAGCTATGGTGTTAGATTGTAAAATAAAACGAATAGAAGAAGGCAAACTACACACTAGTGTTTATAGAAAACCAGCGCATTCTAATAGATATTCAAAATTTAATTCATCTCATCCGTTATCTTTGAAGGCTGGCTTAGTTAAGTGTCTAACAAACCGAGCAAAAGAACTAAATAGTACAACAAAAAACCTAAACGACGAAATAAAACAAATAGAAGAAGTATTGTTATCAAACAACTACTCTATATAATTCATTAGGAAGATCAGAAAAGGTCAAAAGCAAAATAAAAATAATTGTAAAACTAGTTATGATAACATAAATAAGAGAGAATATAAGGCATCTACTGTTATACTATACAAGGAGGGGATATCTGACGCCCCACGTAGGATTCTCAATAAAGCAGGAATTATGGTGACATTCAAACCTACAAACTCACTCACACAGGACAAGCTATGTAGGCTGAAGGACCCGGTGGACTCAATTAGACAAAATAATATAATTTACAAAATACCTTGCAATGACCGTGAGTGAGGTCAACTATCTATGTAGGTCAGACTAGTAGGTCGGGAATAGTCAGATTGTCGGAACATAAGAATTTAGCTAAGGTAAGAATGGTTGACCTCGAGAAGATAAGTAATTTAGAAAAAAGCTCAGCGATTGCACTGCATGCATTAACACACAGCCACACAATAGGGTGGGACAGAGTCAAAATTCTAAAAGTAATATAGGTAGGTGGAGATAGAGAGAGACTGATTACTGAATCCTGGTTCACCTGGTCTACACCCAACACATGCAACAGAAATGACTCAATGCAAACACCAGATATATGCATGGAAGATATTACTACCACCAGTCAGTCAAATCAGAAGAGGGTAATAAATAATTGTAAAATTCTAATACAGTTTAAGTACATCATTAGATTCTAACAAGTAATTTATTTTGACAATAAAAACACTCGTCTTACTTCCCATTTGATTGTATTTGATCAATAACACTCATATTATTATTTCTGAATGTACATTATCCTATATTGATTTTTATTCAAATGTCTAATCATCAATTCCACTCATGTAAATAAATGAATGAAAAAAGTTGTGTGAGTGACTTGATATGA